GTCAAAATTTCGTCATGAAATTTCACGATGGTAAGAGAGTTTCGTGACCACGCCGAATGATAAGAATCAAATGTTAGTCATAAAGATGCAATGCATTTTAATCATACCTCACAGCCCATGCTATGTTGTTTAATATTGGTTCAATATTAATCACTTTCAATATTTCTTTTACTTTATTATTTTTTTCTTTAATCATACTATTCAATAGAATAATAAACGGTATCAGAAAGACAATGTCAATAAACACGAGAATAATAATGGTAAAAGCAGTTGTTTTTGATGTATATAGTACATCTTTTCGATATTTGGTACATTTCATAACATTTCGTTCTAATTCAATTGTTAAATTTTTTTTACCAGTTTGATAACTAATTAATAGAGTATCAATAAACAATTTAATATTGGAAAATTGAGGAAATTCGGTAAAATTTTTTCCACCATTCAGAGTTTTATATGTTTTATTTGATCGATCTTCAATTAAAGTTGGATGTTCAAATGATAAAAATGAATAATCAATGACATTTGGTGTTTGTTGATATTTAGGTGGCATTCGAACATAAATTGTATAATAGATGGTGCGAATTGTTTTTAATGCTGATGATGATAATGATGGTGAAAAATCAATAATAATTGTATTTGCTCGTCGATTTTGTAATAAATCATCATCATCAGCTGTATTTACCATTTTACTTTCAATTGTATTATTTATACAAGATATTTTTTCTAGATATTCTTTACCTAATTTAACTAGTTCATCAATTTCATCATTTTTTGGTTGAAATATAAATGATGTTGTTGATGATGAACTATCATTTTGTGTAAGAAAATTTTCTGGAAATTCGAAACATGTCGATAATAATTTTGTTGATAATACTGATTTAGATTCAGACTGTGGACATTCAACAAATTGATTTAAACTTGTCATCTGATTACTATTATTTCCACTACCACCACCGACTAAACCAGTTTCTGAGGCACTATTAAGTGCTCCATTTGTTCCCCAACGTGTTAGAGCCAAAATGATGATCATTAATAATGGAAATAAAATTTCACACAAAATATAGGGTATACATGAACAACAACGTTGACGATAGGAATACGTTAATGTTCGATGAAGTAATAGACTAAGTTTTTTAGACGATGTTACATTTTTATGACGATGTTGACTATTATTATTTTGTTTAGTCATATTTCGATTTAATTCTATATCATTTGTAACATATTTTGATGATACATCAGATGCAACTTTTGAAGCCATATGTATTTGAATATTTAAAAACTATTGACTGTTCGACTACTGCTTGTAGTCAAACGACATAATATTTGCATGATAAAATATTAGAAAGCAAATAAGAAATATCAAAGGTAAATATACACATCTGTTAATGTGACGTATAATCAGTCGCTTGTTTTTATTAAAA